TCTGACCCGAAATATAAAATTTCGGGTTGAGATCGGATTGAGTTTCGGGTTGACCCGACCCATTCGGAACACTAGTTCCTAGATAATAAATAATTGAAAAAACTTACGTACGCACGGTATACAACATTTATTAATCATAATTAAATTATTCCTGTAATTTTTTAACAAATTGCTATATCGCTTATATATTTAAAATTAAAAAGAATATTTACAATGATTTTATGTTTTGGACCTATAAACATTTTTGTAAATATATAATAAGTCTAGATAATAATAATAAATATAAATATAATATAAATAACATTATTAATAATTAACAGTAAAAATAAATGCGATTTGTATTATATTTTAACCTGATATTATTATTTATTAAAAATTAAAGCCAAAATTTGTTGAAATTATGTGATGATGAAAATAAATAAACCACGTATTTAAAAAACTTTAATATTATAAAATTCCATTATTCAAAAAAAATTACATCTGATTTTTACAATACTAGCAAATCAATCTCTTCTCAAAAGAGCAACATATTAATTTCTATTTTTAGTATTATTGTCTGAGATTATATTTTTTCATAATTATTTCTTGAAATATTGTGTTCTTTTATGTTTTTTATAATCTGCATCGTGTTTTTTCTTTTTTTTTGTTGATATGTTTCTTTTGTGCTTAGATTAGATACCTTAAAGTTGTTTGCAAAGTAGGAGATATAAGTCTTGATATAAAAAAAATAGTTTTATTTAAAAAAATTATATTGAAAAATTGATAGAACTAAAAATAAATTCTTAAACAAGTAAAAACTATTTAATACATATTTTAATTATTAAATTATTATAATATAATTAATTTATATATAATCGAATTCAGATGATATCTAATATTATATGATTTGAAAATATATGAATAGAGTTGCAAATATTATTTGTTGATATATATTATTGATATAAAAAAGGTTTATATAAAATAAAATACAATATAAAATATAATATGAAATATGTAACAAGAATAAAATTGGCATATAGTACAAAGAATTAATATATCAAAGTATATATCAGTATGAAATAAAAAGTCTAGACAGCTTATGGTATAATGTTGTTTTTTTTAAAATTTTGATAAATCATAAAATAAAAATTTTCTTTGTATTATTAAGATTATATCTAGTAAAAATAGGTTAGTATTGATTATTAATAAAGATATTTATAATAAGTTATTGTTTGAGTTATAAGTAGAATATAAGATAGTCCTTTATATTATTATAAGTCTTTTAATAGTGTAACACGGGAAAAAGTAACGCACCTCACACTGAATTCTGGGTTCCCCACGATACTGGGAAGAAAATAGCGGTATTAAACACAATAAGCGTGATAGAAACTAGCGCGAACCTGAGAAGATGGGAACTGTTAGAAGGAAGTCGGATCACGACACAATCGCAACGATTGCCACGTGACTGGGTCGTGCAAGGATCAATCATGGCACTATGGGATCGAACAATAGAATTATGTAATAAGAATAGCGTGAAAATCAAATAGCGATTACTTCGTCATGAGAATTTTTAATAGTTTTCCTTAATTTGTATTTATCATTTTTATTATGTAATAAGTGTGCAAGAATGTATAAAAGAAGGAAGAAATGAAATAAAGGAAGAGGAAGGAAGCCAAGTTATCATCTCTCGGCCATAATCAATTCCGCCTCACCATAAACACTTACTATCGTTACGCGAATTTAACTTCCCATTAGCGACAGACTCGCCGATCACCGTTACAATAGAAATTGGTTAATTTTAGTTTTTGTATAAAAAAAATGTTTCTTAATAAGAACTAATGTTTATTTTAAAGGTAATTAAATAACTTTACAAAAATATTTATCGATAAGTCACATAACATACTGATAAGAAATGTAAATCTCGTAAATTTTTTATTTTGAAAATCTAAACAGGAAGAGTTTATAATTTATAATAATTATAAATAAATTGCATTTTCTATTAAAATTCGGTTGTATATATAGTATTTCGTTCAACTATAAACAAGTAATTTTTTAATTGCATTTAAATTTACCTAATAATTTCTATCATTGTGTATATCTTCGGCTATCATTAAAAAAATCGATGTTGTTAGAAAGGTTATTAAAAAATGTGAAAACTTAATGAATCTAAGTCAATAATTCATATTGTGGTGGGATTAATGTTAGGAAAATTTAACAGACGGTTTATTTTATTTTATAAATAATAATCGAAGTATTTAGTTAATAAGATTTTCTAGTTATTTACTGTGATCATAACTAATCAACACAGATATACTTTACGATAAAACTTATTTGAATGAAAAAAAAAAATGTAAAATCCAGGCCGTATACAAATTCCAAGAAATTTTATTCTTTTATAGATAATACAATTTGAATAAATTATTCATCGTAAATATATACATATGTTTGAATATTTGCCAATTTCTCCTATCATATCAAAAATAAAAATAAGAATGTTTTTTTAAAAAACTACAGTAAGACCGATTAACAGTGAATCATACACAATATAAACAGATCTCACTAGCACCCTATACTTGCGACACTACAGGAATTGCCAAATAAATCGACCCACCATTGATTATTTTTAGTAAGAAATGCTAGAAATATCAACAGAACAAATACTATAGCTCCACAAAAAGCAAACCAAATGTGGAGAACTTCAGAAATGGTTTCTTTAAACTTTGGGTTTTTTCCCTGGTGGCAAATTAGAGATTTCTCTCCCGTGACGTGACATATAAACGCCAAAATGCTATTCAGTGACCATGTGCCGCAGAACAATGTTATAAACTTGCTCCGACAACCATATCCGATTGGTCGTGAAAAGTAGGCAAGCAACAGTGTTATCCAAGGATAAAATATGGCTATTGCCGCAGTTATAAAAACGGTAATTCGTTTGGAAGATCTACTTTTATGATTTTCAACAACCCTAATTTGATGCTCTTCGAATATATCATCAGGATCTTTAATCACCGTGTTTCCTGATCGTATCCGCCTCCAGATTGCCGGAAGTGTCCAGGACAACAATGATGGTAAATATGGCCAACCGGTGCAACTAATCGTTCCAGTCGCTTTAGAAATCAATGCCATGACCCCAACCAAAGTGAAGTATCCTGACACGCATGCTGAGAATATTTCAAGAATAGATACCTTTGCTGTGCACCTATCGATGAATTCTTTTATATATATGTCATCCCCAATATTGATTTCACAAGCATAAAATCCAAAAGGTTTAAATTCTGGCTCGGTACCTCTTTTAGTAACAAATCTATTTGATGAAAGCCAGTACGCGACCCGAGATTCTTTTTTACCACCAACATTGATGGCGTAAAACAGTCCCGTAAATGGACAGCCGAGGCATCTCAGCAGCCATGTCAATTTTTGTGTTCGCGTGTTGGCTGGGGATTCTCCCATTATCGCCAGACCTGGTAAACATCCCGACACATATTGAGGTATTGGGTCCAACAATTGAAATACAAGATCCTTGAAGCTAGACATTTTCTCGCGTTTTTTTGCAATTAAATGGCGTTTTTGTAAAATAGAAAAAAAATCGTCAAAACAGAAATGGAGAATTTTAAAAAAAAAAAAAGAATTGCGTAAAAAATCGTCAGAACAGTAATAAGGAATTGAAATAAAGAAGAATTGCGTAAAAATTGTCAGAAAAATAAAAATTATCGGGACAGTAATGAGGAGTTAAAAAAAATGAATTGTGTGGAAAATTGTCAGAACAGTAATGAGGATTAAAAAAAGATGAAGAAACAACCCTATATTTATAAGGAAGTTGTCTTCGGTCTGATCTTAATCGACTCCTCACTCGAATTTAATATGGAATATAAACTCATGAGAGTATTTACTCAACTCTGAAATCGGACTTAATTTAGCGTATAAACATAGTGGTCAGATATTCATCCTACAAATTAGATTGCTACTGTATATGCAGTGATTTTTGAATGCTTTGCTTTAGGTATTTTTAAGAGAGCAGTAATAACTATAAATTCGGAATTTCCATAGAAAAACAAATCAATAAAATAATATCGTGTAACACACACAAAAAATAATGTTATTTTTAGAACCTATTAATAGAACACAGCGGAGCAAGATAACCCAAAAAGTTAAAAAGATAAAGGAAGCAGATAAAGTTGTCAAAACATAAAGTTAATTTATTAGGTTTGTTTATTAATACAGTACCAAGGAATTAAGATAAATAAATAGGATATATTGGATTTCGAAAGTAGACAGCACTGTACAGTAATTTGATTGTATTATTACCAAATTGAAAATTTCATTTTCTGACCAAGAGTACAGTATATCATTAAGTGGTCACAGAGAAATTATTTGGCATTAAACCTTGCAAATCAAGGTAGAAATCGGATTTACGATGATTTTTATAAAAGCCCACCTCCATCAGGTGTCACGATAATGTGGCTATAGGCAATGTGAATGGCATGATAATATGGGTGAGTTCGTACGCACCGCGTAATGAACAACAATGCGGTCAACTCTCGATGTATAAAAAAAGTTGACAAATTTTAAATTCTGTCATTGTAAATTCTATAATTAGATAGGATTGTCGTAATTAAGGTTTCTTTATAACAAGCAGGACATAAATTCTACTGTAAACCGGGTATAAAAATAATTAATTTGGTTAGTTTATTATGATAATTTTAGACCAATGCTATGAATAGATGTAACACGTGATGCCGATTCCGATTTCCGAATACTGTAATAGCAGAGTTTAAGCTACTATTTTGGGATGCAGAAAAATACTCCCCGTGCGTTACTAGTGCAGCATCCTTAAGTGATTGTGCAGGCGTGCTTTCGGGTGAAATTTCCAAATTATACCTATTGTATTTGTGTCACGTGATGGACCAGGTGATCGACACGTAACTAATTTTGCGAAATCGCCGAGGCAGTTTAAATAAATATCGCGGAACCTTTGTTGCTCTAATATAATTAAAATAAAAATCTTATATATAATAGGGAAGTTGACCACGCTACTGTGCATACATACAATGTTCATTATCAGCATAATTTCTATAAATTTTTTATTTATAACAAAAACTTATAAAAACATTAAATATAATTAACTATTTATCTATACTTTTATTATGCAAAAATTTAATTTAAATTATATTAAAGCAATATTGATTCCGCAAAGTTTAATTAAAAATTTCTCGCGATTTCGCGAAATTCGCGAAATTCGTTACGTGTTGATCACTATTGTCGATCACGTGAATTATACATAATTCGGAAATTTCACTCGAAAGATGAACAAATTAAAATAAGAAAGATTGTACTGTATAAGAAAAGACTTCTAGTCTAACTCTTATAAAAGTTTATATTACTTTTGATATAATAGACTTCATAGCACAAAGTATACTTTAGCTTGAAACTATTCTAATCTGGTACTTGCTTAAAGAAAAGAATCCAATTGCAAAGAAAATTTGAAACTGCAAATAATAACAAAAGTAATCTATTTCTCTGAAATTTTAAGTAAAAAATATTTAGAATATCTAAATGTTTTAATTATCTCTACAAGTAGTGCAACACTTTTTCTATAACAGATACAGTTTAAACTGAATCTAAATTGGATTATATAGTTTAAAACTAATAATAAAAATTTTATTTTTTAAAAATTTCATTTAATATATGGGTTTACTTTTTTAAATAATAAACTGATATATTAAACAAGTTTATAGATAAGAAGGCAAATTAACTTAAATAAATCTATATATTTTTAATATATTAAATATAAATAACTTAATAAATAAACTTGTATATATAATATATTTTATTTAAAAAATTTAAATAATAATATATTATTTAATTAATAGCAAAATTAGTTTTATTAATAAATTTTTATAAATACTTATTTAAAAATTGAGAATTATTTAAATTAAAATAAAATAATTGAAATTTTTTTTAATAATATTTTAAGTTAATAAATTAATTTTATAAAATTAAAAATTTTGTTTTTTAAAATTATATGTTTTAATTAAAATAAAAATTTAAAATATCATAAATATATATATATATGTAATGATGTAAAAACAAAAGTTTAATAAATGTCTTGCATTTAATGCCTTTTGCAATATATATATATATATATATATATATATTTGTAGGTAAACATCATTTCTTTATTTAATTTATATATAACAAGATATACATTATAAAAAAAACAATATCTTTTATATATTAATACAATAAGTTAAATGCTAGCTTGCCTACAGTAACCATATAACTAATATTAAAAAGAAAGTTTAAAACAATATATTTTGTCAAATGGCACCAAGCAGCTATGAATACCTACTCAGTATTAAGAAAATTTAAATTTAAATTAAAAGATAAGAATGGATTATAGATACATTTAAAATAGTTATATTTAGATAAGATAAATAAGTTAATAACAATAAAGAGTAAATTAATAATAATATCTTTTTACAAGTTGGTATTAAATATATTCCCAATTTGTGAAGTATTCTTGTTTTTTGATTTAGAAAAACTGGATAAATTGAAAGATTTAATATAATTTTATTTAATTCTAGTAAAAGGTAAGGTGTTAACTATAAAACAGTATAGTTTTCAAATCAGATCATGAAGTTAAATTAAAAATTTTGTTATTGTCTTGATCTAATTGATAGAAGTTGAAGTAGAAAAGATTTTTCTATTATACTATATGACAATTTGATAACTTGCCATATATATATGTGAAATTGGTTTGTAATTGTTATCTGGATAAAGAATCTGATTAATAATTTTAATAATTTGAATAGTTGCTTGTGAAACCTCAGTACATTTGAAAATATGTTGAACATTTTTTATATGAAACTTGCATCTTAAACAAAAGATATTTAGATACTGGCTAGGATAGAGTTAATAAAATAAAGAACAAATAGAATGAGTTCCAAATAATAGTCTGATTCTGAATATAACTAAGATACTATATTTGTTATTGTAAAGTTTTTTAATATTTCTATTAGATTGATTAATGACTTTTAAGTCATATAGGATATGAGTTCATCCAAAGGTTTAAGTAATAAAGAAGCTTTAACAAATCATATAATTTTTAGTAATATTAAAGATTTTCTTGCATTATTTAACACTACTGTATAAGCAGGTGCTATTAATCAAAAGATTTCAAGAAAGTATGATAGGGAATTGTTTTATTAAATAGTTTTGATTAATATTAATCTGGATTTGAATTTGATATATATGATTTTTATAGACTTTTGATATATATATATATATTTAATAACACTAGCAGAATCTTACCTGATATACTTTATTATTAATTGTTGTTTATACAAATATATTATTGTTTATGTTATAACTATAATTCTGTTTTATATATCAGCTTATATCGAATATGACTAAATGTTGGCTTTAAGTTATTTGATTTATTTTCTAGCTTGGGTTAGGAAAAAGAGATCAAAACTAATATGCCAAAGCTCTATTAGTATTAATAAAAGAATATTTGTATAATTGTTGTGTTTGTTGCTCCATTTAAACTTTAAGAACCAAGTTGTTATGTTCTTTTCCCATATTCATATATTCTCCTCTTTCTCTTGATTATCGTAGCCTTTGCTCTCATCTATAGTTATGTTTTTATTTCTTCTTATACTTCTCTTTTTCTCTGCCACTGTGATTTCTTCTTTCTTTTTCCATTCAATAGCTTTCTTGCATCTTTACTTCCATTATATTTGTATGGCTTTCTTCATATGTTTTGTAATTGCTTTATATACAGTATGTGCCTAATTTGTAATCTGACTCTACTTTTGATATAGTTTGTAATTTCTTTTGTGAATATTGCCTTGACTATAAGTGTTCTTGTTCTTTCTGAGTTGTGCACCTGATATTTTCTATATTGTTTTTCTTTCCCTTGTTTGATTTTACCTGTGCATTTTTTCCTGTTATATGGCTTTGTTATATTCTTCTATAATCTTTTCTTTTTAATTTTTGTATATTATGTAGTTAAATGTCTCTTTCTCTTTGCCACAAATGAAGCATTTGGCTTAGTTGTATAGTTTAGGTTTTCTTGTCCTTATTTTCTCAAAGACTGAAAGCTCCTCATTAAATAGTTTGTATCTATAATTTCTGCTTTTATGGTCTTGTTTATTTGTATTATTACCTATCAGTTATAGACTTTTGTTATATATATTGATTTATTCTCTGAGTTATTAAAGAAAAATTAATTTTAACCATTATTCTTGAGGACTATTATATATCATTTCTACTTCAGATGAAAAATAAAGATGAAAAACTAGTAGCAGAGAAGCACTTTAGATGTACAGAGCCAATGTGATATACTAAAGTTTCTAAAGGTATACAAATTAGTGCAATTCTGATTTGTATAAGGTCAGGTGAAAAAGGCAATAGTGATTTGTTTGTAAAGATCAAGATATTTATTCAATAAAATATAAGTTCAAGCCTATCAATTTCTAGATAAAATTGAAGCCTTTATATACATGCTTGAGTTATAATATTTTCTTATATAA